TTAAAGATGCTTATGGTCACATCTGACCGCAAGATGAGCGCACACAAATTCATTGACGGTTTTGTTATTCATCACGTTCATCTTGGCATATCTGTACTCATATCTGGTAGGAGTGCATGTAAATTTGGGCATAAATGCTGGATATGTGGCTAATTAACCAAAACTATTATCAACATAATCTGTAATTGCAAAAATAAGAACAATAGAAAATTTCAATAATACTAATTTGTGTGCATGACAGTCCAGTACAAAAGTGGATGTACTTACTTTACATGCACATTGATATAAAGAAGTGCTGCAACTATTTCATGTTCCATTTAAAGACACATTACACTGTGCTTTTGTTTCATACTACTGACTCACAAACACAGCTTCGGTCATACACTGCAATAATACAGCGTTTATTTCAGAGAATTAATTACACTAAACAATCACTCTACTATGTTAACAACACTGAGTATTTTGTTTTATTTCACATTTTATTTTTTCCAGTTGTTTTCTTTTTAATACTATTAAGTTTGGTCAGCAGGGGAGGAGTGCACTCACTGCTGGACATCAAACTCCACCCATGAGCACGGCCATTAGCTTTCATGCCAAACACTGCCGTTTTATTGGCTGGCTACTGAAACATCTGCATGAATTAGTGTGTGCTTCATGTAAATGATATGTAAATGAGGTGCTGGTAGGTTGGTTTCATGCACTGAAGCTGATTTATCATTTATGCTCAAATCTCCACTTGTTTCCACATCGTACAAAATTGTTATGAATCAGACGCACAGCAGTTCATACCGTATAAAAGGCAAGAAAAAGGTGTTCTTTTTTTACGTAACTTTGATGATTAATGGCCATTAGATCTTTATAGATCATTTAGATCATTAATTACTTCTTAAATTCCTCTTACTTAACCATTAATTACTGCTTTTGTGTCCCTCCAAGTAAAGTGACAACACAAAATCAGTAATTAATGATTAAGTAAGAGGAATTTAAGAAGCAATGAATGGTTGATTAAGTGGAATTTAAGAAGTAATTAATGGTCAAAATGTAAAGATCTAATGGCCATGGGCCCTTTTCACAAAGAGTCGCGATTACGTCCGGATTAAGCATTAGCAGTGAACTATAATGCTCAAATACTGAGCTACAACAGACATATGTTAGTTTTTGTGCACTATCATGACAAAAGGAAGTGAATGGAAGCACTGATAAACTGTAGCCCTGCTTACTGCTGCTGCAGCTGCTCACATCAAGCAGTGTCTCTGTAGTTGTACAACATGCCAGCGATTTCTGTAATATTTTTGTTTTCAAAAGAAATTAAAGTTCTTCTGTGTAGTATGAATTTGGTAGACGTTGTTTAGCTGAAGCTAGCTAGCAACGCTAGAAGCCATTTCTAACTGTAGCTGTGTTCCCAAAATAAGGAAGCTAGTTAGCTTTCATTAGCTGCTGCCACCAGCCGGCTAACGTGGAGCAGGTTCTGTGACACATTTAGCTAGTTACATGATGGCAGTGACTTCTGACATAAACACAAACAAAAACTTTTACATGTAAATTCTATTTGATAGACATCGTTTAAACTGTATTAGCTTACAGTAGGCTAGCAGGCTACAGTCGCTAATTAGCTAGACTACCATTAGCAGTTTGAGGAGCACCAGCTTCGTATGAGCATCAAACTTTAAAGCTAAGTTAGCTCTAACGCTGGCTATGTTAGCGATCTGCCAAAACAGCATTATTCTTATAGTTTCATGGCAATTTTTGAAGCAGCACTTCAGAAAACATCCACCTTTCACTGCTCAGTCAAAAACGCGATTCCTAGCAGAAAAAAACATCTGAAAAAGCTGCTTCATGTTAGCCGGGCTAGTTTGGTTAGCAGTAGCTTCTAGCCAGTATAGCTAGCTTAATATAAACAAAGTTTATAACATTCATGCTACATATAAAAGTTCTTCTTTCTTTTGAAAATTATGAATATTATATTACCGAAATCGCTGGCGTGTTGTACAAAGACACAGAGACGGCTTGATGTGAAGCAGCTGCAGCAGAACTGCAGTAAAAACAACATAACCTACAGCATTTTAGCTCTGTTTACAGTTAAATCAGTGCTTCCGTCCACTTCTTACTCTCACTGTCACAACCGTGCAGGAAAACTAAAATACAGCTGTTGTAGCTCAGTGTTTGAGCGTTACAGTTCACTACTAAACATTTTGACATCGCGTCTGCAGTAGCTATATGGAGAGGAAGTGAGTTTTACCCTGCTAATGCTTAAACCGGAAGTAATCACGAATCTTGTGAAAAGGGCCCATTAATTATCAAAGTTACGTAAAAAAAGAACACCTTTTTCTTGCCTTTTATACGGTATGAACTGCTCTGCGTCTGATTCATAACAATTTTGTACGATGTGGAAACAAGTGGAGATTTGAGCATAAATGATAAATCAGCTTCAGTGCATGAAAGCAGCCTACCAGCACCTCATTTACATATCATTTACATGAAGCACACACTAATTCATGCAGATGTTTCAGTAGCCAGCCAATAAAACGGCAGTGTTTGGCATGAAAGCTAATGGCCGTGCTCATGGGTGGAGTTTGATGTCCAGCAGTGAGTGCACTCCTCCCCTGCTGACCAAATTTAATAGTATTAAAATGAAAACAACTGGAAAAAAATAAAATGTGAAAAAAACTAAATACTCTCAGTGTTGTTAACATAGTAGAGTGATTGTTTAGTGTAATTAATTCCCTAAAATAAACGCTGTATTATTGCAGTGTATGACAACAAAAGCACAGTGTAATGTGTCTTTAAATGGAACATGAAATAGTTGCAGCACTTCTTTATATCAATGTGTATGTAAAGTAAGTACATCCACTTTTGTACTGGACTGTCATGCACACAAATTAGTATTATTGACATTTTCTATTGTTCTTATTTTTGCAATTACAGATTATGTTGATAATAGTTTTGGTTAATTAGCCACATATCCAGCATTTATGCCCAAATTTACATGCACTCCTACCAGATATGAGTACAGATATGCCAAGATGAACTTGATGAATAACAAAACCGTCCATGAATTTGTGTGCGCTCATCTTACGGTCAGATGTGACCATAAGCATCTTTAATGAACCAAAGTGAGAAAAGTGAAGCAACTGAATATATGGAGGTGATGGAAAGTTAATTAACAGATAATTAGCGGGATTAACACATAGGTGCTAGTAAGTGATCACGTTACTTCTTTATATGAAGAAAAATACTTATTAGTTAATTAACAATGTAATAGGCAGCAATTAGCACACAGATAACGAGTAAGTAAGCCACAAACTAACGACAAACTAACTTATCAACTAACAGTGTACTTAATTACTAATTGATAAGTCCTTAATCAATTACTAAGTAATAGCTAATGCTTAATGAAGAGTTACTAATAGTTGATTATTATATATTTAATGATTGATTAGCGACCCTTAATGTAAAGTGTTACCCAGACAAGCAGTGAAGAACAGTGCTTTTTGCATTCATGGCATTTCACCATGCAGGAGCGCTTACAAACAAGAAGCCACTCTCATATAAGAAGGTTTTTGGCCATGCAGGCCAGCATGAGACATGTATTTTTTGCAATGCAGTCACATTACAAAATGAACCAATGCAACACTGCATGCACAATGGACTGCGCCAGAGTTCACTGGAAGCTAACCCCATATCACAGATTTCAGGAGGACCAGAGAACCGATCTCGCAGGCTCAAAAATAGCTTTCACACTTGACCAAACATACCGAACTTGCAGAGCAAGCAGTCCTGGGTCTGGAAAAAACTCTAGTGTGAAAACAACCTCAAAAAGGTCTTTCAGAGTAACGTTAAGAAATAGATCTATGAAAAAACAGTGACTACTGTTAGGAGCAGATCAAAGGAACATCAATGAGAGTTAAATCAGCTACGTTAGTCTTGTCGCTCCAGTGCAAAACTAAACCAACTTCAGACATGTCTTGGCTGATCTGTTGTGAAATGAAAATGAGATTTTACGCTGAACAATTCCTTAAAAGTAGGGCCAGGCAACAGGACAATATTTATCCTTACCGTGATAAATTATGTCACAATATGCTTATGCAAGTATATTGTGGATGTCGTCAGTACTTAAAAACACTGACCAGCTGCATATTTAATTACTCAGAGAGCATATTAGTGCTGTTTTATTGAATATTGAGGCACAGCAGTGTTTCCACTAAATATATTTTCCAGTGGTGACCCGCTGCTTCTTCAGAAATTTATGAAATGTCATGAAGTTGCAATTACGAAACTCAGAGGTCTTTTAATTAGAACTGACAGTTACACGAAGTGTACGCAAACAGTCAGAGCCGAGTTGAGCCAAAGTGCTGAAAGAAACGATCGTCAGTGGAGCAGACTATTAATATAGTTTTAGCAAGCTGTTGTTAGTGAACTGGCTAACTTAGCACACTGTGAGGAGGTTGGGTTGATCTTCTTTAGCAATATTATTAAGATCAGTTTTACATTTTGTGGACTTCTGCAGACAGTGGTGGTTCAAAATATTAATAAAGTGGGTCAAAAGGAACCATTTACTTGTTTTATTCTGTGCAAACCTTGCCATTTGCTTATTGTAACGTGTTAATGCTAGTCAGCTACCCAGTGAGGGCGAGCTACTGTTAAGGATGCCATACCTTGCTTGTTTACAACTTTAAAATGAGGAAAATGTATTGAATGAAACATTGGTGGCCTGAGCCTGATCTTCAGTGGCAGATGACTTCACTTCCTAGAGGAAATACTGCACAGGATGTAAAATGCTGAATACAAATCACTGTATTTGTTGTTTTTTGATAGTATTTGTTTTTTATGTGGCACTTTCGATTATCTGTTATAACCTATCAGATGTCAGAAAAAATAAATATTGTGGCATATCGTGTATTGTGAAAAGTTCTTAAAGTATTGTGATATTAGATTTTTGCCATATCGCTCAGCTCTACTTAAAAGTTTAAGAGATTAACTGCTTGCTTGTCCAGACTCACCATACATCCTCCGCATCCACGTCACACTCGGCACCGAACTGGCAGATGTCACACGTGGACGTCTCCTTCTGGCCATTCTCTGCTGAGCCCTCGTTCCCTGCTGAGGCAGACACACAGGACACAGGTCAGATTTTTGAGATCAGGCACAATACCACTTTCCCTTTTCTTGTAATGATGCTGAAATCTTGAGTATTGGCTGGTTCAGACAGTCTCCAGTCTTTTAACTGTCACCCCATTTTTGCCTTAAACAGCATACCCAAAGTGAAAGCAGCACTGTTCCCACATTGGATGAATTACTGACACAGAAGCTAGAATGGAAAAGTTTATTTCTGCCTGGGATCTCTAAACTGATCTGTGACTCTTGCCATGTTTTCAAGACCACATGTTTTGGATTATGATGTCTCTGTGGACAGCAAGGCTTTGAAGGCAAGGACCCACAGATTTGCTAGCACTTGCTCATTTGGTGCTTATGTTGCAAATGAGACAATCACTACTGCTGTAAATAACAGATCATAAAATGGTTTGCAGTAACTGAATCCTGAGATTTTAGAATTTCTAAAATTATACTGAATCACTGTATTTCTGGATGATTTGATGCATAAAAATAATGTATAAAAACCGGAAGTTAATGCTTTGATGGAATTAAGCCGTTAACAGTACAGTGATCTAGAAAGGCTTTATAAATTAGCTATTCTTAATTGTGGCCTTAAGGTGACATTTTTCTCTTGTATCACATTCTTACTACTTGATATGACAGTAGTTTTGTCCCTTCAATAAAACAAAAAAACGAAATATTTTTCAACCATTCCACCCTATTTTTGGTTTATCAATTATTTGCTTTCTGCTTTATGTATAGTTTACATTAAAAAGCCAAACAATGCTTAATTTACTTTCAAGTGACCCCTTTATCAAACAATGCCATACACTCAGAAATGCATAGTGTGATAATTTATCATGATAATGATGAAATTTCATCATATTGACCACCCCTAATTCATAGTTAAAAATGTTTTCCCTTCTTCTGTGCAGGTACTTATTTGGAGACATGAGGTTTTGTTCCAACAGCAGCGATATGATTGCGAAAGCTAACAACTGTGTTAAATAACTAGGGTCAGCTTAAATCATGGCAATCAGCTCTAAAAATTGTGATCAGGCAATGCAATCTGCAGAAAGATGACAACTTGACAAGTGAAATTACCTCAATTCTAGTGAATATACCTAATGTTTCTCATTTTGAGATTTCGTAACCTTATTATATATAAGTAAATAATAATCTCACTATACTGGCAGATAATTTAAAGTTCAATGATTTTATATATTGACTAGATTTAAGATAAAGATATCATGTTTTGCATATCAGTGCTGTCTCTAGTTATGAATCAACACACAGGTGTCAGGGTGGTAATGAGTGAGAACAGGGGATCGTGGCTGGAAGAGCAGCTAAAGGACATGATTCTTATTCTCTCGTTGTCTCACTGCTGCTCTTACGCACAGTTCAAATCCCCCACTGATCTTTTCCCAGCCTCTCTTCTCATTCTATCCTGATGAGCTCTGATTGGCTGCTCCGGGCTCCCTGGTGAAGGAGGCTTCCCGGGCACGGCCGGAGCTTAAGACACTCATCAGCGGACGGGAGAGAAGCAATCCCATGGAATTTAAATTGCGCCCCGAGGATCGCTGCACCCCTGCTGATCCCCACCCTACATTACAAGGAGCTATTTTTATTTCTAAAGCCCATGGAAGAGACAGGACTGGTCTTGTCTTTCTTAACTCAGGGTCTAAAACATATTCTCACTGAATCTTTGATCTCTTTCTTGTGCCGTGTTCATAAATATGAAGTAGCTGACCCTACAGGCCAAATGTACGGAAGCAAGCAGTCACTTTTACATTTCAATGCTGTTTTACAATTAAGATTTGCCAACAATCAACACAACCCAACATGTTTTCTTTAGGAAAGACAATGACTCTATATAGAACCATGAACACTGAAAGATCTATGTGCACAACTGTTCTGCACGGTGAAATTGTTCTTTAGATTGATGCAGAAAGTGTTTTATATGGTTCTATATAGAACCCTTTTCAAAATCTTCTATATAGAACCTTATTCAACATATTTTACGTCAATAGAACACAACAGTCCACCAACCAAAAGTATCCTGTCAACAGTGTCCTGTGACCACTGATGAAGGACTAGAGGATGACCAACACAAACGGTGCAGCATCAGATGAGCTATCATCTCTAAAGTGGACCAGCGAGGTAGGAGTTGACAGTGAGTGGAGACGGTGTTTAAAAACTCCACAGCAGCACAGCTGTGTTTGATCCACTTGTACCAGCGCAACACACACTAAAACACCACCATCTCGTCAGTGTCACTGCAGTGCTGAGCATCATCAACCAACACCAGGCTGATCACACTCATAATCATGAGAAAAGGAGAGGTCAAGCTGCTGCAACGGTCTTCAGGAAATCCAACTGCACACATAAGTGATCACGCAATATTCACGTTGTCTAATTTTGTATCTCAAAAAAAAATATATATATTGAAAATATACAGTAATGATCAGTCCAGGCCTTACTCAACAGTTTTATTTCCTTACAGACTCCAAATGCAACATGTCGTTCAGTTCATTAAGGCTTCAGGAGCAACGTGGAATCAGGTGGATCTGATTAGAGCTGCAATAAAACTCTGCAGGAGAATCAGCAGGAGCTAAATTCATTAACAATCAGTTAGTTTGACTCTACGGCTGCAGACGTTTTTTTGGTAATAAACATTACTGTGTGTTATTTCTTGAAAAAAAATTGTGTATATATATATATATATATATATATATATATATATATATATATATATATATATATATATAAAAAAAACACAACAGGCAAGTTTTGAAAGCATGCACATTTACCCTACAGCCATCTATCACATCAGACCTATCGTATTGCTCTATTCAGACTCACAGCAGTGCATGCTTACCATATTTTAGCCGTTTTTATTCTACTCAGTCAGTAATATTACTTCTTTCAGTTTTATCAAAACATCTTATCTAGTGCAGCTTTAAGAGTGTAACTGGGAGGCGCTTGGTTTGTTCTAGAGAAAGGCTTGTTTCACTCTTTTTCCTGGGAACTTTCTTGAATTTTGATTTTCAGATCAATTCTTGTTCTAACTTTTTCTGTGGTCTTGGACATTGTTAATCTATTAGGACAGCTGTAGTGAAGATTGTCAGGATTGATTAAATCCTCTAGTGGTTTTTTAGTCTTTTGTGTATGTCTGTGTGTGAGTGTATTGCCTGTTCCTTCTGCTGATGCACTGTCCTACTCCTTGATCAAAGCGTGAGGAAAATTTCCTAATTACTGGAGCTTCACCAGCTTTGAAAATGTTCGAATTCTCTTCCTGCTTTTACTGTTTCACTGTACTTTCACCTTGGGGTTCTCACAGCCTGGTGCCCTTTTTTAACGATTTTAATTCAATACACATTTTGTTACATTCAGTGAATATTTCTTCACGGATTGCTAGCTGGTGTTTGTACACAGCCCTGGCTCTGTAAATGGAAACCAACAAAGTGGATTGGACTAAACCACACCACTCAACAACACTCTTCCAGCCAATCAGCAACAGGGTAGTTTCATCCTCATGAACAGGACAGGGAGAAGGGAAAGGGCTACATGCTGAACTCCACCAACTTTCAAGAAGGCAAGATGGCTAAGAAACACCCAAAGAGGAGAAGATCTGAAGAACAAAGTTTGAGAAAGAAGTTCTTAGATCAGGCAAGGGCGAAGAGCCATGGTGGCATCATTGAGGCATTTCAACAGTGAAGAGACCTCTGAGAGTTGATGCTGAAGGCTTCCTATTCGCCAGCTTCTTGTTTGGCCTCAGGCACCAGAATGTAACTACTGCACCATTTAAGGTGGAACGGGAAAACTCAAACATGAAGCTGGCGAATAAGAAGCTGAATTCAGCTACATTGAGAGTTGAAAGGCATGAAAAGGGATGAAAAGGTTGCTCTGTTTCTGCTTGACACTTGGTAGTATCAACTTACTTTCAGAAGTTTTGCAGAACCAGCAGGTCGTATTGTTTGTCCTGTTTGCTAATGTTTGCGATAGCTGATCCCAACTAGTTAGCTTTTCAGCAGCAATTGTAGAAATAGTTTGCTAACCCACAACCTGGCTTACGCTAATGTGCTGTGTTGCTGTTTGCTCTAACATTATGTCACAGTATTTGTCCATACAGCATTTGTGAAGTGTTTAATGGCCACCAAGATCCCCAAAACAAGTGTGCTAGCCCAGTGTCATTCGTTTTTGTGACGCATGTCCATGAATTTGTGGGGCAGAGCTTCTGAAGGAGAACTCAAGAGAAGGATGTATTATCAACAGTCACTTTCCAGAAAGTCCCACACTCATGAGAAAATGGATGAGCAGGACATAAACTGCGAATAAATTTATCAATTAGTGCAGCCAAAAGATGTTCAATTTGTGACATATTTTATGTTTATTGTTTTATATCGATGCTGTTGGAACAAAAACTTCATTCATATCTCCATTTTTGTTGTCTTTTATTATTATTTTTATTATTTATCTATTGGCATAATTAAAAATATCAGCTGCTCTTTCGAATGTATGACAATCTCATGACGAATGGACCAATAGAAATGCTCCAAAATTTCCTAAAATGACATGTTTTAACATTAACTTACATTACAAGTTAGGAATGTTCTTCCTTCTCTTGTAAAGCTTTATATACATAAAATGTGCCATAACCTTTTCACAGGTCATTTTATGTTTTATTCCCCCCAAATATTATATTATATTATATTATATACTCGCTCCCCCCCGTGACCCAGAAGGATAAGCGGCTTAGAAGATGTGTGTGGGTGTGTGTGTTTGTGGGTTTCTTTTATTTGTCTGTGATCTTATAAGGCCTGCTATTGTTGCTGTGTGATATTTAACCAGTGCTGTTCTGTCAACTTTTATTCAGTGCTGGTGGGTCAGGTCAGGCTTGAGTCAGTTTCGGACTCAAAACCTGATGTGGATTCAGACAAAAAAATCTTGAGCTGTATTTGTGTTCATTCTAAACTTTCAGGCCAAATGAAAGATCTACCACGTCC